TAATTACATAAAATAAAATAATTTGAAATTAAAATTTTAATTTATTTTAAAAATCAAAATTAATACATTCTTTTCTTTTAAATTAAACATATCAACTACACTTGTAATTTTAATTGTGTTAATTTAAGTATATTAAATTTTTAATATTTATTAAAGTTTTATCCGTTGCAATACCAATCAAATTATCCTATTTCCCATGTTTCCCAATGTTCCAAAAAATAAAAAAAAATTAAACCTATCAACCAAGTAACCGGGTTTAAATATTAAAACAAACGCCTCTTAAATAAGTTATAAAAATATGAAAAGTTGTGCCCAATTCTACGAAGAGAGAAAAAAGAAGAGAATAAAAAATTCTTGAGACACTGGTTTAGGAAGAGAGTAATGGAGATGGAGATGGAGATGGACGCGAGGGGAAAGATAAATTCTCAAAATTTTAATTTTTAATAAATAAAAAAAGTGATTATTGATGTGGTTGAGTAGGGATGGTAATTTTCTTCACAACCCGTGAAGTTTCGCAAAGATCCCCGTCACGAGGATAGAGATTCTAAAAATATTTTTCTTTGTAGGGCAGGAATGAAGGCATTTTTTTTTCTATGAAATTTCACCAAAATTTCACCAAAATTTCCTTTACCTCGTGAAGAACCGTAGAGATCTATATAAAATAAAAATATATATAAATTTATGTTTATTTATATATTTTTTTGTAAACATATTAACAATTAATTTTTACTTATCCAACCTAATTAGCTAACTTAATACTAATACAACCTAAATTTCACAACCTATTCTTTTTTTAGTTTTCCCAAACCCAATTGTCAAGTCCAACCTATTCTGTTTGTTAATCTAGTCTTCCTAAACCTAATTGCCCAGCCCAATTTACATTGGTAACCCTCCAAAGATTTCAATTTTAAATTTGTGATTCCTCCTCTCCAGTCTCTTCTATTACTCTGTGCTATAACTCTCTTTCGACTCCTTAATCCTCATCTATGATTCCCTTCAAGCTCTCACTGTCACTACCCATTGTGCAACCATTGCAACACTGATATTCCCCCATCTCTCACTCACACTCGACTTGATAACTCTTCTCCAATCTCTCAACCAATCGTTGGTAACTCATCTCTTTTATATCCTTTTTCTTAATGAACTTATTGCTGGATATGTATGGTAGCGGTTTATGCATTATGAACTTTGTTGATAACAATTGCAGTTTATGCCTTTTTTTTCTTTATGAACTTGTTGCTGACTTGCTGGACTTGTTGGACTTGCTTGACATGTATATATTGACTATGCATATTTATTGCTTGTTTGTCTTATTTCAAAATTTTATTTTATATGATTATTTGAGTAAGTTTTATTTGATGCATGTGGAAACCAATGAACTTTAAGCAAGTCTATGTTGAGCTTAATTTTGATTAACAAGCAATGAAGTAGATGGTAGTTTTATTTGGCAGGAACTTCGAATACCTGTGGGGACTTATCATTCCCTGCGGGTATAGGGACGGAGGTTATTTTTGAACCTCCACCAAAAATTTCCATGGGATCCCTGTACCCGTCATTGACCAGGATGAGGATGGGGATGAGGATGGGGATGGGGATGGGGATGGGGATGGGGTCCCCGCCCTCGTGGGGACCCATTGCCATCCCTATGGTTGAGTCCTGAGGGTCCAACAAGTTGCCTATCAAAGTTTTAAGGGTTAAAGCCAATTATAATTACTCTACTTTCAATTTCT